CCGAAGGAATCCAACCGATCTTGCAGCCTTGGCAGAGGTTTGGTTTATGTGCTCACGCCAGGAGAGATCCGAGCTGATATAGGCTCCAAGGTATTTGCTTCCGGGGACAGTCTCTAGGGTTTGGCCGTGGAGTTGGTAGTCGGTGTGGATAGGGTTTCTTTTCCTGGAAATGTTGATGGTGATACACATGTCCGGGTGAAACTCCATCTGCCAGTCTCGTTCCCACTTTTGCAAGGCATCGAGGTCGTCCTGTAGGATGGCAGTATCCTCACTCTTGTTGATGATGCTATATATGGCGCAGTCGTCAGCAAATAGTCTGACTGGAGACTGTACGACATCTGGTAGGTCGTTTATAAAGGCCAAAAATAAGAGCGGGCATAACACCGATCCTTGGGGGACACATGAATCTACTGATGCCTCTGAAGATGTTGACCCTTCCACTAACACTCTCTGTGTCCTGTTACTTAGGAAGCTGCTTATCCATTTTAATGTGTTGTCGCGGACCCCGTAGTAGGCTAGCTTGTGGAGTAAGCGTTGGTGAGGCCCCTTGTCGAAGGCTTTGGAGAAATCCAAGAGGATGACGTCGATTTGTGTGCCTTCGGCAAGGCCCTTCGCAAGCTCGTGCACGGTGTAGATAAGCTGCGATTCGCATGAGCGCCTACTCCGGAATCCGTGTTGGGCTTCTGTCAAGATGGAATGATGGTCTAAGTGACGTATAATGTTGGAGTGCAGGATATGTTCCTGGATCTTGGAACATATGGCGGTAAGGGAGACCGGTCTGTAATTAGAACCACTTGCGCCTTTTTCCAGTCATCCGGAACCATGCCTACGTTTAGGGATTTCTGATAGATATGGGAGAGGGCAGGAGCAATCTCGTGGGCCATCTCCTTCAGAAGACGTGCTGGGACAGCGTCTGGCCCTGTTGCCTTATGTGGCTTAAGGTTCCTTAGCAGCTTCTCCACTCCTGGCCTACTAATGTTGATGGGGGGCATGCTGCTATAAGGGCTATCTCCTTTATTTGGGGGATTGTTCAGGTTCTCCTTGGTAAAAACAGATTTAAACTGGGAGTTTAGGATGTCCGCTTTTGTCGTGGGGTCGTTGTGAATGAGTCCATCCTTCGACCTGGACGTAAACAAAACCCACAATATACACAATAGAATTAACGAAAAAGCATACACACATAGAGATAAAACTACAAATATTTTATAAAATGAAACTCGCCGTTTAGACGCACTGATTATAAGCCTCTCTTCAACCCAGACTACCCTGGTGTCGTTACGAAACCATCAGCCTATGCGTGCAGTGATGGAAGTATTTGTAGATTTAGTTGAATTCGATTCATATATTCATATGAACAGAATGATATAAGTATGAACATTAATGATCTAGAATATACAAATAACTAATTACTCAATATTTTCTACTTATAATTTTACTGGCCAATTAAGGTACGTGTATAGACATGCATCCATCAATCAGCACACGACGCAGCCCAAATATTCGAATATAGATATGTCATTGCTAAATTTCCAACCGATTATTTTATGTATTTATCTATTTTATTTGTATATTTATTTTCTTTTTAATTTGCAAACTTTGTTATACATCTAACTAATTTTTTTTATATAAAAACATTTCAGCACTCACATATTCTTAAAATAACATGTAAATAGCCATCGATCGTTTTCTTAAATAACCAGAAAAAGGCATATTCAACGCACATTCAACGCTAAATTTAAAACGCACATCAAACGGTCAACGCAAACGCAACGCAAACTCAACGGAAACGCAACGGAAACGCAACGCACTTTTGGTACAGAAAAACGGTCCAGGGTCTGTATACTGCCTGTGTTAGCCAAGTGCTATTAATATACTATCTGTATAAACCAGGAGCTAGTTCAATGGTTGTCTTACTGGTTTGAAATACTTCTTTTACAAGCATGCCTCTTAGGAGGCTATTTGTTTAGGTGAATAGGTAAAACCTACATGTATATATGTGCAGCCTATTAGTCCTCTGTCGCTCTCTCCGGAGCATCCTTGAAGGATTTCAAGGATGGTGCTCGATCTTGATTTATATGTCTTAGTGTTCCACTGAGTGATGGATCTCACAAAGAAGGAGTTTGAGCTACCTGATTGCGGACAATCAACCCTTGCCAGTCCAGTTCCACTACATTCCTCACTCCTTTTTATGCAGTAGCTAGTAATCAGTTGACAATGGTGGTACAAAGTAGCTCATAGCAAAAAGTCAGTTGTTGCACAGGGTAGGTGGGGTCAGGTACCTCTTTTTGTTGATTGCAACCAAGCCATCTTAATGCATGCAGTACATCATTGTCATCCCGTGATGTCTTTGTTAGGTCTGCAGTGATGTCCATATAAGGTTATTAAAGATTTCTGTTATGCTGATGGCATTATGATACCTGTTAAAAGTATATGTTACAGCATGATGCTGGATCATATCAATACATTGTTTTTCTGTATTGGTCCTGTATGCACTCACTGTACTCCAGGTTTGGCTCCACCATGGTCCTGTTGCCTGTTGTTTTTTTAGACCTGGGTTAAGTAAATGCGGAGATTCCTCATGGAAAGCCAATTTATTGACTTTCATTATCTTGTCAATTTGGCAACCTAATCACAAATCTTAGCTATTTTTGATAACCAGGTATGTACATGTATGAACTTGAAGAAGCTTGCACCTGCAGGAAGTACATGTAATGATGATGCGAAGATTTCTTTGATTTCTTAAAATAAATACTGATAGAGACCCTCGATTTGAACTCGACTATAGATGAATTCTCCACTTTGTTCCAGTGTTTATACACATTCTAAACCCTTATAATGGTTTAGAATGTGTATTAACAATTTAACACCATATAAAAGGTGTTGCTATTATTTACTGATGTGTATATGCATATTTTATCAATCAAAATTATTACAATTAACATCATATAATTATATTATTCAAAATCTCGAAACCGAGCCTGGTGAGCTACAGCTTGGTCATTCTTCACTTGATCTAATAACTCACTGTAGTGGGGTTTCATTGGATTTTTTTTTTGTCAAATAGTTAAAAAAAAATGAACCCAACTGAGATAAAATTTGAGAATCCACATCAGCACGCCGGATTAATAGCTTACAAGTGTAAATGTTAACTACATGTTTCTTAGTTGTTTGCCATATAGATATATGATTTATCACTTTACATTTTATTTGGAACTTACAATGTGTTAGGCATAATAATGAACGTTTTACGCTTACAACTGGTATGCAAAGTCGCTGTTATTGCAATTAAACAAAAAAATCGTATGTGTTTTATACCTACATGAGGTTATTTTCTTTGTTTGCAGTATTATTGAACTGAATCGTTCCAAAATTACCTAGAGCTACTTTTAACCGGCAAATTAATGTTGCTTAGACTGAAAACATCCGGTAATTTACACAAGGCTAAACTAAACAATAAAGCTTATTGCGGGCCACTATCGCGGGCCAGCTTGTCGTTATCTGTGCGAATCTGTGCACGATCGTGACTCAAACCGGAAATCAGAACTAGATTGTAGTACAATAATAATTAGAAGAGAGTACGGACAAGAATATCCGGAAGTTTATTTTTATATAAAAAATGTGAATGAGTACTTATTTGTTAATGTATGTATGACGAATACTGATACTTGATCGAATATTTTGAACAACTGGCATTTTTCTACATGATAACGCGCTCCTTAACGAGCTCAAGATGGTTTGGGTTGGTTTAATTAAGGTTTAACCTTTTATTTTGTCTAGTTTATGAGATAATAAATCCAATGGAGCACGAGGTAAATTGCGTTTACGGACAATTTACCGACTGCTCCATTGGATTTATTATCTCATAAACTAAACAAAATAAAAGGTTAATCCTTATATTTACAATTTTTTCTTTTAACAATAACACCATTAAAAGAGTCGGATACAAGCATTTACCTTGTGTAATCTGCGTTCAAAATTATTTCTACCTCATGTTAATCCAGGTTTAGGATGCGAAACAGCCATTCGCAAAAGCCGCTGACAGGCAGCTAAACCCCGCCCACTTTCTCCGTGACAACAAAAGAAAAAAGTTCCTACATTTCAATATTTTTATTTACATAAAATATCCATATTTTACTTCATACACTATCTTCATAATTGTATTAGTAGGTAATGGAATAAATAATTGTATATATGTATGAAATTGAGGTATTGGGGCAAAATACTAAGTAGAAAATGCTCATGACCGCGTACGCCCGTCGTTTGAGAATGATGCGCCGTAAGGCGGGAAATAGAGAGTGGTACCATGTCGTCGAGCGATAGTGACTAGCCTATGCCTAGTGGAAATTGAAAGTGCAGTTATTGAAATTGCTGTTTGTAAGCATACCAGAGGTTTGTACAGATGACATGCATGATGTAGATAAATCGTTTGTCGGCCGAGTGACCTGGGAGACGAGAAATTCGACCTGCATTTCTAGGAACGATAGCCATCGTTTCTGTGTCATGGCGGCCGACACTGTGGAGTTGATGGAGCGTTTGTGTACCGACGAACAATCGCGACTGTAGCTTCTGACACTAGCTGACAAAAGCATCTTAATTAAAAAAAAGATAAACACAACAACAAAAATAAAATGTAATGTTGTTATGTTGGTGTCTCGAACGCACGGTAGTCTAAATGCTAGCGTTTGTTTGTAAACATTGACATGAGGTTTGCGGAAAGAAGTCTGCCCATATTTACATATATTTATACGCGGTGAACTGGGTCACGTTCTACACTCAAGTTATTGAGAAATAAACAGAATTGCCCTCACTGAGGTTATCGATTCAGAAACAGTGGCAATTGTAAATATTTTTGTTTAAGGAAGTGCCTCCATGTGTGTAGTGTATGCGTGCTTGCGTGTGTCAGAGATGGCTTTATATGTCTCTGCGTATGTGTATGCAGGCGACATGGCATGTTGGTGGAGCACAAGAAAAATTAGTCTCATTAAAATATATCCATTTAATTTGGAACATATACGATAAATATTGATATTTTATATGCATTTTGACTGTCTCTGGGAAATATGAACGTCCAGGTTGAAATAGATCATATGTATCTGGCTGAATTCTGATGATCGTAAAAAACACTTGCGAATTCGGTACATGTACACCTACTTTCCATCATCAGCGCAGATGCTTTCTGAGGAAGTTGATTGCTCGCGGCCATGCGTCCCTTTGAGCTGCTGCGTGTTCCTTGGGATATCCTCCAGAGAGTATGAGGTTATCTAAACAAGAATGTATAGGACCGCATTTAAACACAAGGAGATTACTTTAAAATACTTACTTCATATGAGCAATTCCAAGCGATCGATCGTTTATATTTCTTTTACATAATTATGACTATTGATGATGTAGGCATTTGTTTTGCCCACGAAGCCACCTTAATAAAGGCCTTTTCTTGAATTTTAAAATCGCTTTTTTCTTCAATGCTTTTATGTGAATATTTATGTTTGAAGTTAGGTTGTTAAAGTTACCAGTTGACATTTGCATATGTCAAACTGTGAATATAGGTACCTGGGATAGAGTGCTATACATTTTCCTCATTAAAATGACCTTGACCTAATTTCATGGTCACAGGGGTAAAATATGTTAAAAACTTCTAACAACAATAGCATAAGACCATTTGGACTAGAGTCATAATACTTGGGTATGTTATGTAGACGAGCTGTGTTAATCTTTTTCTTTATTGCAGTAATATAAGGATGTCAAAGGTCAACTTTAAGTACAGTCGGGGGTCAAATGTCGACATGGGTTAAAAGCTTTAACAATCTTCTTCTGAAGTTCCATAAGGCCATGGGTCATGATATTTTGCCAGTAGGTTCCTGGTATGGATTCTATAAAGTTTCCTCAAATGACCTTGACCTACTTTCAATGTCACAGGTGTCAAATATGTTTAAAACTTCAAACAACAACATTCTAAGTTATGTAGACCAGCTGTGTGAATCGTTTTCTTTATTACAGTAATGCGGTCAAAGGTCAATTTTAAGTGCTAGCCGGAGTCAAAGGTCAACATGGTTAAAAACTTTAAAATTAGAATTTCGAATTGCAAACAACAGTATCTAAATTAGGTCTGAAGTTATCTAAATATCAAGTTTCATGTAACAAAAGAAACAGGTGAGCGACACAAGCCCTCTGGGCCACTTGTTAAATAACAGTTTGTTGCAACATCTTTTGGAAACGACTTATAGATGAAAAGTTATTGAAGTGATAATGAAGTATTGATTATGCAAAAATGAAGGCAGTTTTAGCTTACTATGTTGGTAGAGTGGTCTTTTTATCCTCATTTCCAGTTGTACTTGATCAGCTCCATACACTACTCGACACAAGGGGGTGTTGGGTGGCTCTATTATATGCCCCGCTCCCGGATATATCACAAGTTCGGCCTTCTCGTGGCGGTAGTCTTGTGGCATAATTTTCTCATAAAACCGAATATTATGTTCCACCCCGGTCAGTAGATCATCGTCACCCAATATCGTCAGGAGGTGGGCGCCATGTGTCCAGGGCTACAACAGAAATAGCATTTTTGTCTGCAACGTATGTCCGTAGGTTTGTAACTAACCACGACACTTCCTATTTGATTTCTTGGTACATTTACTACTGACGTTCAGACTTTATCGTATGTGTAGTAGAACAAATAAACGAATTTCTTTCAAAAATACGCAAGAGNGGGGGGGGGCACATGATACAGCCGGCCTATTCTTTCTCTTGAACACTGAGGGGCTACCAACGAAATACTCTAAATAAAACATGCTTAATAACAGACCAGGGGAAACCTGCATGTGAAAAAAGTTCGGGTAATTGAACAGCCTGGACTGCTACTGTACCTATATTAACAGTAAAATGTGCATCTTTACAAATGTGTAAAACGACTAGACCACTAGTTATAGGAGGTTGGAGCAGTTTATATCACACTAACCTTTAAATAGGAATCGTCAGGGACAACAAATGTGTGTTTCACTGACATTCCTTCCTGTTTCATTTGTAATCGTGTCTCGTCGATCCTTGAAATGGAAATATACGTAGATATTACTGTACACGAGTAACCTTCGTTAGAGGACGATTACAAAAAACTGATCGATGCAGACACGTTTCAGAGAGATCTTACTAGATTTTTATAATATCCATTTCAAGGAAAATATAGGGATATAGATGCCCGTGCCAATAAGAATAGAAGGAGAGGAAATAGGTGATGTGAAACAAAGAATCGTTGTATAATGAATAGAACTTAGTCAAATCTTTAAGAAAGGATGATTAAGTTTTGAACAGATGAAAAAATTAAAGCATTTTCGTCACCTGTAAGCTAATCATTCCCGAACAAAAGTAACTCAGTTGAGAGTGGATGGTTGATTTCGTTAAATGTATGTAAACGTAGTTGAGAAAAAAGACAAGAATGTTATAGATAATGTTCATTGGTTTCATTTGTTTGTATCAAGAACAAAGAGGACTATCAATTAGATTTCTCTGGTACAGATGAAACTTAAGGGAACTACACTCCATTCTTAATCTAGCATGATGTATCTGTCCCAGTCTGGTACCATTGAAGTAGAAAATTTGAATTTTGTGAGCGGACTTGCGTAGAAAGGGTTTAAGTTTATACATTGAAGGGTCGTTCTTGACATAGTCAGGCAAGGAGTTTCAGATACTGATGACAGATGGCAAAAAAGTTTTATTATAGAGACTCGTATGACTAATTAGTGTACAAAAAAAATTCCCGTCGAGTAACATGGTTGTGGTAATCACGGTTAAGCTGAGGTAGAATATCTAGAAAATATTGAGGAGCCAGTCCATGAACCATTGTGTGGAAAAGAATAAGTTTGTGCTGTTTACGTCTTTTCTCGAGGGGAAGCCAACCTGTCAGTTTAATTCTACTTGTGAGTCTAGTGCCGCCAGTGGTCATTTTGTGCCAGTTTTACATGGATGTATGTGAAGACGGTTAGATATGTAAATTGCAAGCATATATACCTGGGTATTACTCGCCGTAGGCATTTTTCCAGGAAAAGTCAAATATTGTTTTGCAATACGGATGAGGATTTTGGAAAAGCGTTTGACAGACATTGACAATTGCCAAATAAAACATGGTTCATTACCACTAACATTTCCTGTTACATCCCCAGCTTGTTTGAATAATACATATTCCTATGTTTATCCTTATCATTTGGCAATAAAAAAGACTTTTCGTGGATTAACGACTCGATACAGCACATGACTAGGTGACTAAGACATGTATGTAGTTTACCTAGTATTTGACCCAATGTTCTGCCCATGGTATGTCCAACCTGGTAGAGTAAATGGCAAACCGCTCATGTAGACGATTGCTCTAATCTAAAACACAGCAAACGATCACATAAAAGGGTGCAGCATATGTCTACAACATCTACTGTCGAGGGAAGAATTGGCTGAAAATATCATGAAATCAATAGGGGATATGTCATACCTGATGGTAGAGATGTATCTGTCATACTTGATGGTAGAGATGAATATGTCATACTTGATGGTAGAGATGTATCTGTCATACTTGATGGTAGAGATGTAT